AGGTATAATGCTGCAAAATTGTTCTTTTAAACAATTTAAAGAAAAAAACTTATAATTTGCAATAGAATAAAACAGTAATTCCAGCAGTGGGCAGCACTGTTGCCTAGCACCAAGAAGGTTCTGGGTTGGAATCCTGGCCCGGGGTATTACATCTACTCTGGTTTCCTGCCGCAGTCCAAAAACAAGACTGTTAGGTTAATTGGCTCATCTAAATTGTCCTTAGCTGTTAGTGTGTGTGCATGGTTGTGTGTTTTTGTGTCTCTTTGTTGCCCTGCAACGGACTGGCAACCTGTCCAGTGTATACCCCGCCTCTCGCCCGTAGAAGGCCAGAGATAGGCACCGGCCCCACTGTGACCCTGATAAGGACCAAGCGGGAGAAATTATTGGATTTTCAACTGATTTCATTAAAACACAGAAGTAGATAAATAAATAATAAACTTAAGAAGCCACCTGTAAGCTGGTGTTGTTGATAGGTGAGATGATGTGAGGAGCTTGGTTAGATCAGAGCTGCATGTAAAAAATTTCTTATACCTGGACATAATCTGCAAATCACTGGAAAATTTAAGCTAGAATTGAATCTGCAAGGCTGCCCACCATCGCCTTGCCTCCAGTTGTGGTAATGGGCTGGTAGGTTACAAGACTGCAAGTAACGCAATGGCAACAACAATATCTGATTACCTTTTTAATGAAAAAAAAAATCAACACATTTTGAAACTTGAGACATATAAAATATTTCAGATGTATAAAACCACGTGTTTCCCCATGTCATTACTAAAGATGTAAAGCCTTGCAGCAATATGATGTTTCCCGAAATGCAGAGTCTGTCATTATACGATTTCCATTCAATCGAAAAGTATGCGACTGATATGATATCATCCACCTATATTTAGTTCCTGTGCTCCACTTATCTGGAACAAACTTCCAGAAAACTGTAAAAGTGAGGAAAGCCTGAGTTCCTTTAAATCAAGACTAAAAACACATTTGTTTAGGATTGCCTTCGACTGTTCTAGTTAAACAGTTCAACTAAAACATCATTAGTTCAACTTTTTTTATTTTCTTTAGTCCAACTGTTTTTAATCTTCTTTTTTTTCTGCATTTTTTCTCCTACTTGCTTTGATTCTGTTTAATTTTCCTATATTTTAATCATGTAAAGCATTGTCTTTGTACTGAATTGTGCTATACACATAAATTTGCCTTGTCTTGCCTTGCCTTGCCTATCTAACAATTATTTATATTGATATCGACTCAAAGAAAACATTTTTGTATTTGGGGTTTAACTTATCTTGGGGTTTAATTTTTCTCTTACAAGCTTCAAACATTTATATCAAAAATGTCTTCCGATTACAAAAACGTAATAGATAAGCTGGTCTCTATAGTTTCATGCCTAATAATTCAATTCATGTATAGATGTAATGGTAAACCCCTACTTACCACCATTTTTCCTTCCTTCATTCTTTCTTTTTTTTTTCAGCACAACGAGATTCACTCTCTGCATTTAACCCATCCCCTTGGTGAGCAGTGGGCTGCCATTTTCGGCCCCTGGGGAGTAGAGTGGGGTTTAGAGTGGGGCTTTGCACAGGGACCCAGAGGAGCAGTCTGTGGGAGTCGGTTTCAAACTCACAACCTAAGGATTACAAGCTCTAAGCCCTAACCACTAGGCCGCCACTCCCCACATTTCTAATTTGTGACGATTTGGGAAAAACTGCGTGAGGTGCTTGGACAGCAGGTCATCAACCTAAATACATATGTAAATGAGGGCCCCAATTCTTTATGATATAGAGCATCATACAGGAAATTCCATATGGCTGGGATGCCAGTTCTGAACCAGCTTGGTTTGGCAAACTAAGGTTGCAAAAAGAATATTGCATAATTACAACTAGAGCTGACATTAGCCGCTTTGGCCAGTTTCAAATAATATAATATAAATCAGAAAATAAGCCTTGCATCATCATGTGCTGTCAGGGCAGCAATACAGTCTCTCAAAAAACTCTCCTTACATATTTGGAATGTCCTCCAGCTACCATCTTTCTGCAGTTACATCCATCTTACACTGTCTACACACCTTGCCTATAATAGAAATCATCACTTAAAATATTGATATTGATTTATTCTCCTTGTTACATGCGACTATACGTATTTTAAGTTAAAGCGGAAAAGTTATTGTTAATATCTGAGGTGGTTTGCATCCTTTGTGATGCATGCAATGTTCTTAAATGTGATTATTGGTCAGATTTAAACCATAGTTGCTGAAACGTATAAAAAGACCAGGTTCTACATTCCTTGAGATAAACAAAACTGAATGGAGATAATATTTTCTGTATTTAGGTAAGTTTAAATGCTTGAAGTTACAAACTGAAAAAGATTTCGTGGCTGCCGCAAATTTTCACAGCAAATCAAAAGTTTGACTTCATTTTTAGACACCTCTATTCGTGCATGACACCTCATATTTTTCTGTGTAGGCACAGTTTATAAATGAGGCCCTAGGTCTTGAAGCAGGAAAACCACATCTCACTCGATTTATAGTCTAAGAAAAGCTATTTAGTTCATTTTTATAGCACCAATTCACAATATGTCATCCCAAGCCACAGTTCAGAGACAATTCAGTCAGATCATACAATAAGATTGGTTAAACGTTTTCTATCTAGGGAAAATCAGCTGATTGAGTGCTGGATGAACCTGTGGAGACAGTAGATATTTGCTTGCATTTTATTTTGTAGTTGACTTAGCAACAATGCCTAAAACTGGACATATGTGCAGCAACAGTGGAGAGGAAAAATCTTTTAACAGGAAGAAACCTCCATCAGAAAAAATGCATATTCGTTTGGTCAAAGTTCAAACTGAGCCCATAGCTATGTCTAAGAGAAACACGTGACTGTGCATGGGAAAAAAGGCTCAACTCTTTTATCTAGAATGGAACTTATAGAACTTAGAGATAAAAGCTGATGTCTCTTTTGAGGATGGTGTTTCAGCTAAAAAGAGCAGCAGGCTAGATCAGAGAGTACATAAAGTTAGGGGTTGATCTAACAAACACTGCAGATTAGAGAATAGATGCAGAATGAGTGATTTAGAGAGGCCCTTATGTCCTCCAGCAGTCTAAGCCTAAAGCAGCATAACTATAAAATAGCTCAGGATAACTTAAGGCACTCCAACTATAGACTGAAGGCCAATCATTAGCCACCCCTGTTGCCACACACACCAGTTGATTTGTTGTTCTGATTGGGATGAAATCCACCACCTGTGGAAAAGGCAATTATCCTTTTAACCAGCTGGTGGCAGCACTGATACCATTATGTAGAATGCTTTTCTTTAACACTTTAAAGCTATTTTATCAACCAAAAACTAACAACAAAAATACACTAATTTAATTTTTATAATACAACAAATAAAGAGGACTAGTATAGGATTCCTACTTTTAGAAAAAAATTGGGGTTTTTTATGGTTTATTTGGGAGAGTTCGTCTCGGCAGTAATCTGGAAATCTTCTGTAATTGAAGAACATTTTAACCCATTTTATGTATAGATTATGTAGAACCATGTAAATTTGTTTCTCTTTTTTTTTTTTTTTTTTTTTATAAAATGAGTCAAAGATATTGTTTTGAAAGTGACTCCAGGTAGAAGATAATGTATTTTCCAATTTCTCCACCAATAATGGTGCATTTACTTCCATACAAGATAATTGTTTTTGACCTATCATGAAGGAAAATGAACAAAAACAGCAGATTTTAAGAGGGATTAAAATGAGGAAAAAAACAAAAAATTATCTGCTGTGATTCACGATTTCCATCTGATCATGTCTTTGTTGCTTTTGCATTCATAATTCATTTCTTATTATTAATCAAAGGCGTTTAGTGTTGCTTTGTTAGAGGATAACTGCAATGGAGATCATGCTTCTATATAAGAATCCACAGAGAGGTGGACAGGATGTGGGATAGAGTGGAGTGGAGGTCCGACTTAAGATAAACAATAGAAACATCGCAAGAGACTGCAGAAAGGTCCATCTTTTAATCCAACAAATATCTTTGCATTGCTTATATCTAATTATATTCTTTATGCATTTTTATTTTAAATATGCAGTTATTTCAGAGGTAAACTGTAGCTTTTTAAAATCTTTACTCTGAGTTTTCAGTACTTTATGTTTTTAGATATAACTTATGTCTTTAATGTTATATCCTGAGAGAGCCTAAAACTAAGTGGAAGCTCAGAAAGCTGTGGAATGACCTGCCTCAGCACATCAGACCGGCCTCTTCTCTGACTGTTTTTAAATCTCTTGCAAAATCCCACCTTTTCTCTCTGACTTTTAATGTAAGTGATAGTAATATAAGTGACAAGTGAATTCTTTGTGAAATCAATAGTCTATAAAAACACCTTGCACCTGGCAAACACCTTTTTTTAATCCAATTTTATTGATTTGATTTTGTGAATGTTATTTTCCCTCATGTTTTAGCTGTGTTTTTTTTATCTGTACTGTTTTATGTTTTTCTGTACAGCACTTAACTTTGGTTATCTGTGGTTGTTTTTAAGTGCTTAACAAATAAAGTTGGATTGGAATATTTTATTTCTATGTGGACGCCATGAGGCTTTATCACAATAAAAGTGAATTCAGGGCACTTTAAAGTTGGCTCATATAAATTTTATTAAGAACCGGCTCAGGGATTTTTCTTTATTACTTTCGTACAATAAAACTGATTAAAGATTTAACAGTTATGCAACTGAATTTTGAATTAAATATAAAATTTTAAATAACAGTTTGCTCAAGCAATAAGTATCTAAGGTTTTTTTTTTCTTTTTTTGTTTACTTTTTTACAAGTAGTAACATGCAGATATTGATCACGACTACTGTAATGCCAATGGAAAAATAATTTAAAAAAGTGTTTCCATAGGTATTATAATTTTAATTTGCACCATTTAAAGGTAAACTTCCTATATTCTAAAGTAATGAATTTTCTTCTTTAGGCTTTATGGAAAAAAAAAAAAAAAACATGAAAATTTAGACCGACTCAATTTGTCTGGATTTATCAAGTGTTTATTTAATTAATAGTCATAGTAATGTCACACAAATTCACAAGTGTTTAAGACATGTCTGGCTCAGTTTGGTGTGTGTGTGTGTCTGCAAGTAGGTCTGTGTGAATTCGCTAAAACAGTGCAGTTATAAATAAATGACCACAAAGAGAAGGAAAAGGTAATATTGCAACAGGAAAAATAGATTTTTTTCATTTAAAGAGGACAAAAAAAGAAAAAAAAAAAGGTTGTTCAAAAGAGAACATTTAGCACCATCTATCCCATTATCATATTCAACAAATATCATAAAAATCTCATCTAAAAGCCCCCTACGTAGTATAAAAAAAAGAAAGAAAGATTTCTCAAAACACTTTCTGGAAAAAAAATGTTTTTTTTTCCTTTATCAGAATACAAACACAGCATTCCATTAGTCATCTTCTCTACATGAGCAGTGTGTCTATCTTCTACAGGAAAGGTGGTGTTATATTCAAGATAAAAGATTCGATTCAATATATATCAGGAGAGAAAAGGCAGAGGTTGAGAGGCAAGCACCAGGAAAAACAGCACCCTCCACCGCCACAGAGATACCTCCAAGTTTCAGTTCTTACAAAGCAGTCACCGTGTCCGATCAGGACGAAAAATAAATGTACAATTCGTCCAAAAGGGAGAACATTAATATCCAATAAATAGAGAAAGCATTTTAAATTAAATGTACAATTGCTAAAAGAAAAAAAACAAACAATAACTGCATACTGAAACAGAAGAACAGCACACACCAGATGATGAGTTCTTTTTTTTTTTTCCTGGACAAAGTTCATACAGAGATAGAAAAAAAACAGAACAAGAGACCTGATGATGTGTGACAGCTGAGTATTAATCTCCAGAGGAAATAAAGTATAATTCAATAGAAACAAGATTTACAACAAATACAAGCATCTGGAAAAAAAAAACAACTGACCCCCCCTTTAAAAAAAAAAACCTGCTAAAACCCGTATCTTTTGAAGCATTCCAAACATTTTTAAAATACTTAATGCTTTAGAAAAATGTTCATATCTCTATTATTAGTAATTTCATTTTCTTTCTTTGCTAAATACAAGGCCAATGTGGTATATATCTAGACTGATCTAGTTTAGAAAAACAAATTATATAGAAAAAAAAAAAAAGACAGCACCCCACAAAGTTTTCAAACACCATGTACAAATTCAGTATTCAAGACGAAAAAAAAAAAAATGCGCCATTGAAACGTTTTATTGTCCACAGTTTGTTCAATGGCAGCACCAGCTGCCCCGCCCACGGGGTTTCTGCTTCAAAGCACCATCTGAGTAAACGGGTTTTTTTTTTTTTTAGCGGCTTTTTTTTTTTCTCTTTTGATTCTGTAAACAGTAACAAGTAAACGTATTCAGCTGGCTGATAAGCATTTTCGTAGCAGTAGCAATTCAAAAATAATAATGAAATGGTGGGCCTGAAAAGACTGTCTTTTGTCCTGGCGACGCAGGAGTTTTGGTTATGGCTGAGGAGACGTGGAGGGAGGGCTCCGTCACCGAGAGGACGACGCATGCTAGGAAGACAAACACGCTTAGAGTGAGACGCTTCTTCAAAAAGTGGCAGATAATGTATTCTGAAAAAGAAAATTAATAAATCAAAGCAGTAAAGGTTTGCTTACCAGAATGAAAGAGTCGTATGTGTTCATGAGCTCCTCTATGCGGTACTGCTCCAGCACCACCACGTTGTTCAGGTTGGGGGTCCGCCGTCTGGCGCAGTCTTCACAGTGAACCACATACGTCTTCCTGCTGCTGTTCTCGCACGTCACAAACAGCAAATTGAACACCTCCACCTGTGGCAAGACCGATTCAGTTTTACACACAAAGCAGAGCTGGGCGCTTACAGCGATTCAGTTTAATCAGCCATGTTTGTTCACCCCAAACCTGTTGTTAGAGCAATTATTTTCAGCATATGTGGAAAATGTTGAAAATGAGTAGATTTGACACCAGGTTCTATTTTTAGGAGTAATTGAGTCAAAATTAAAAACCTTTATGTTTAGAATTTCCTTGTACTCTTAAAGTTCAGCTGTTAACTGAGGTATCATTAGTCTTATTTGCTTTACTACCAGCTTTTATTTTCCATTTATCTTTAATTAATTTTACTTTTATTTCCTTTCTTCTGTATAGTTTCATTCATGTAAAGCACTCTAAAATGTTTTTGTACTGAACTGTGCAATACAAATAAACTTGCCTTGTTTCAAGTTAATGTCATATAAAAATGTGTTTGTCTGCAGCTTAATTATGGAGATAACTATAAAAACAATATAGTTTTCTGAATATGATATTTACTGTCTTCTATTCTTCAAACTAAAGCCTCTTTAGAACAATCTGGTATTTTAGAGAACCAAAAACAAGCATTTATTGAAACAGTGTCTTATCGTAGCTCCTGTGGATGTAATTCTTATTTATTTTAAACATGCTGTTTTTGTCTCTGAGTGGACAGGACCTCATTTTTAGTCACTTTTTCCTGAATATTTGAATTATGTAAATTCCTTTATTGTGCCACAATGGGGGAAATTCACTCTCTGCATTTAACCCATCCCCTTGGGGAGCAGTGGCCACCATGGTGTGTGGGGTTAAGGGTCTTGCTCAGGGACCCAGAGTGCAGGGTGTTAGGATCAAACCGGGTACTTGCAACCTTCTCAGAGCACAAGCACACTGCTCTAACCACTAGGCCCCACAATTAATTCACTTGCATAAAACAAGCTTTTTATTCTATCTTAAACAGATTGTTAATACAGCTTAAAGAAAACATAGGTCAAGATGTTTAATATGGAGAGGCAGATCTCCCTCCTCACGAGTACCAAGCAGCAATCCTCTTAAAATGTAAGAAAATTCACTGTTAGTGAATAATGAATACTCACGTCGCACTCATTGCAGTAGTAAGCGGGCTCATCTTTGACCCGACTCTGATAGGAAATCTTCTTCCCATCAGCTACCAGTTGGTCCCGTAGGATCTGGATGTGTTTCATGGACTGCAGCAGGCAGTGTCTGGGAAGAAAAGGAAAAAGGATGAATAAAAAAAAACTTGCATTGTTTCTGAATTACATTTTTTTCTTGCTTGTACTGATATCTGTCCTTACTTGATCATTTTATAGGTGTCTGGATCAGTGACCTTGATGGTGCGGGCCACATTCCAGGAAACATGAATCATAGGAACGATGGACTTGACCTTCTTCACCTCATTCCACTCAAACCTCTCCAGAGCCAGCTGATACTGGTAGCCTGCGGGCGATATCAGGAGCAATGAGACAGGGTTGCAGATGCTATCTACATTCAGCAGCTAGATGGCAGCCTTTTACCGTTGAGAGGTCCCACGTTCCAGGCAATGTTGTTGCACCATCCCACAGCCTGCACCCAGTGGACAGTGCCAGCATTGATCCACACCAGGTCTCCGGGCCGCTGGATGAAACGATAAACAGGGATGTTGGCGTTGTACAGGTCCTCCAACACCGGCCACCAGGACCCTGTCAAGTAGTCCACTCCATGCCTGATGAGATAAGAAAAAAACGTTATAACGGACAGTTTTTTACAGAGATGTTTGGCTGCAAAAGCATCACGTTTTCTTCTTCTACTCACTTTTCACAGAAGTCGTTGATTGCCTCCCAGTAGTCTTCATGCACAGAGAACCACTCACAGTCTCCTGGGCCAATATTGATGTTAACTGAGCAGAAGTTATTATTTTCCTGGTGACCTGTGACACAAAAACAGTGTCTTAGTGGAAATGTCGGTTTATTGACAGAGGAAACTATTTGCTGCCATGTTTGAGTGTCGTTTACCAGGCGTCCTGCTACCGGGAACCTTCATGTAGAGCTGGACGGTGTTCATGCCCAAGATGGTGTGTCCAACATGGCTTAGCATGTTCCCGCTAGAGGCTACGCGCATAAATGCTGGAAGCTTCTGCAGCTCCTGAAGCTGGGCCTTCCACCTGAGCAGAGGTAACAGATGTGAACTTTTAGCTTTGGTTTCATTGCAAACAGCTGCATTTGTACATGAACTCATGGGCAGTGTGAAGAAATTTGATTGTAGCAAGTGTCACCAGAGAGGTGTGTTATTGAGTCAGGCTGACGTGTTGAATCTGCTTACCTCTTTGGATCAGAGAGGTCGATATTGGTCCCAAATTTGATGATCTTCCCAACAGCTTTCTGCTCTCCACTGAGGAAAAAGTTTAGTATTAAAACACATTTCCAAACTACTAAACATATATTACAGTTAAGACCACACATACTTGTTATTCTCTTTGGAGCCATCTTTGCTAGCATCAGCACCAACAGGCGGCTTCTTCTCCTCGTTTTCGTCCTCCTCCTCGCTGCCCTTCTCCTCCTGTAGACTCTCTTGGAAGCTGGAAGCCTGGTACTGGGCATACTTGGCGATGGTGGTGTAGGAGCGACTGCTCTCACAGGGCCAAGTCTGACCGGTGCCGGTGGCATTCCAGTTCTCGTCTGCGGGCTGCTGCACCTGAGTCCTCACCTCAACGGCCTGGTCTGCGCTTGCCTCCACCAGAGACTTTGTGGAAAAAAGTCCCAAATCTTTAAAACAGAGAGAGAGGAAACGTTAAAAATCATTGCATACGAAGTCAATATTTTTGTTATTGGAAGAAATGCCATCAGTAAAACAACATAGAAATAGCTACGACCTCAGGCTAAGCTTAACTTTAGGGGTGCAGGGGGCGCTCCTAAAGACCATCTATGACTCTGCTGTGGCATCAGCCATCTTCTAAGGAGCAGTGGCTTATCTGTAGCTAACATCTCTGTTGCATAATGTCTCCCACCTCATGCATAAAGCGGTTGCAGAGCTGAAGAGCTCCTTCAGTGACAAACTGCTGCACCCTAAATGCACCAGTTAGCGTTATCACAGATCCTTCCTCCCAGCAGCTGGAAGATTTTATAACCATCTCCATTCCCAACAACCTCAATAAGTTGTTACATTCATGCTGATCTTTGTACAGTGTTTGTCTTAGTCAGTTAAACAACATGCGGCTGTCATTTTTGCACACTTCTGGTGTTGCTGCTATTTTTCATTATATCCAATACCCATTAGTGTAAAAATGTCCACAGCTGTTTATTGATTATGTATTCTCTAGATGAACAGTATTTATATTGTAAAAACACTGTAGAGTACAGTATTTTATTCATTTTCTTAACTCAGTCAATTATTCTGTTATTTTTGTACACTTCTTAAGGTCCAAAATTTGTATGACCACTTTTGCTATAATCTTTTGCTGCTGTAACGCCACAATTTCCCCATTATGGGAAAATAAAGGGATTTTCTATTCCATTCTATTCTAAGAAGAATATTTCCTGGGTTCAGTATCTACATAAAGTGTATCCCTCTGTGATTGAAATGGTGTTAAACTAATGTTTGTCCTCAAACTGCAGAGTGAGATATCTGAAATGTGGTTAATTTGTTCGTATGGCTTTTAAGAATATCTTAATATTCTAAAATCAGTATCTGTTGGTAAAGCAGTTGTTTGCAGTTACGGGTTTCCTAACGTACTGAGTCGAAGAGATCCAGCCAGTCCCCTGATGACCGTAACAGGGTTCTTTGGGTCTGTGCAGAACTGCAGCAGAACCGGAGAGAAAGCATCTCTCTTGCTCTCCAACTGCAGAAAAGAAAAAAGAAGTGACATTTAGTGACCACAAGATGGCAGCACATGTAAACTTGACATCACCACAGTATTCAGTTCAAAGAAGAATGAAATGACTATATAGCAGGTTAGATTATAGTGTGTTAAAGACATACGTAGATGCTGGGTGTAGGAGGGTTGAGTTTCTCTCTAGGGATGGGTTCATTTGTGCTTATTATGGGTTTGACGGAGAAGGCTTGAAGCAGATACGATTCCTTAAATTTCCCTTTGATACGAGCCGCCCTGAAATCAAAGAAAATAAGACATTTCTGGATATATTTTTAGATAAAATTGTTAAACAAAACAAAAAAGTAAGAACTTTGCTGAACTTCAACTGAAGTTAGAGCACACTTACTTGCAGGAGCGGATAATTTCGCTTGCAGTGTTCTTGATGCTGATTTTTGCTAGAGGTATTCTCTTCTCCTCCACCTCGGAGGCGATGAACGTCTCTCTGTCGCCGCTTTCCACCTTTATGAGGCGAATCTTCAGTTCCTTGGGCGGACCGTCCGACAGCGCCTTTAACTTCATCAGGTCTTTGGAGCCCAAAGAGGAGCCGCTGTCTGTGCCGTTCCTGTGCTCGGAAGACGTCTCCCCTGAACTGGAGGTCCATTCTACACGCTCCCCAGAAGAGCTACCGTCTTTCCGTTTCTTTTTCTCTGATTCGCAACCAGCCCTGTCCTTCTCAGACTCCCGCCTCTGGAAATTGAGATCCCCCAGGATTCTGCGGTCCTTTTTCTCTTTGTGGCTCTTGCCATCTCTGTGGCGCTTGTGGCCGGAGCTGGACGAAGAGGAGGAAGAAGAGGCGTCGTCTCTCTTCTCTCTGTGCTTCTTCCTTTCCTTTTTGTCTTCATGCTTCCTGCTGCTGTGACCGTGCTTCCTTTTCTTGTCGTTGCGCTCCTTTTCTTTCTCAGGCTTGTGTCGGTACTTGGACTTGCTACGGTGCTCGGGTCGATCGAGCAACTCTCGACGCAGCATGACCTCGCAGCTCTTCCCCAGCTCCTTCAGAGAAGACTCAGAGATGGTGGTCAGTTTGTGTTTATTCTTTATCACCTTGATGGGCTTTATGGTCTTCCTCTCTTCAGGAGAGTTTGGCCTCTCTTCCATCTCCCCCTCGTCCGTCCAGACATCGCTGTCCTCCGTTTTTAGTTTCTTGTCCTCCAGCAGTGACTCAGGGAAGGATTTCTGTTGTGGGACAGCCGGGCTGAATGGTGGGCTTGTCGAATCAGATGTAGGAGAACTGCCTTGCTGCTGACGGCAGATATCGGGGCCTAGTGACAGCGAGGAAGAATATTTGATGCCAACCAGAGCTGAAGGAGGCGGTCTCCCGAAAGGTCCGCCTCGATAGGCATACTTCTGGCTGTCCAGCTCTGTTTTTTTAGCCTTATACATACTGTTCACCCCCGTCTGATGGAGATGGGGTCTTTGGGGTGGCGGAGAACAAGATGGCGTCTCAGAATCCTCTTCAGATTCATCATCAGCTTCGCTTTTGGTCTGCTCTGGGAAGCCGTAGAGTTTGGCCAGGTCACTGTGGCGGTAATTTGTGTTCCCTACTCCCATTTCCATCTTTACAGTTGGCTTTCCGTGGCTCAGAGGAACATGCAGAGAAGCCTTATGGTAGTCCTCCTCTTCCTCGAGGGAAGACGTTCGGCTGCAAGGTGATGCCAGAGAGCCTTGGCGGCTAAGTACAGGGGGGCTGGGGTTAGATCTCAAATCTTCCTGGTGAGGCTGATGCTTAGTGGCTGGGATCAGATCCGGGGCGCACAGGTAGCTCTTGATGGGGTCAGTGCTTGGGATGAAGTTGTGGATGAGACCCGCTGGCTCCTTCTTTTCACCGATAAACATTTCCTCTTCTTTTTCAATCGATTCATCCAGCATTGCCATAATGTTAGCCAGACCGTCAGGGAGCATGGTGGCCATTTCAGAGGGCTCCTCCTCAAACTGAGCGCTGTCGGACTGGGCGCCAGCGTTTTCCGTGCCCCGTTCAGTTGACTGTGTGTTGTTGATCCCCCTGGCAGAGGCAGCGCTTGAGGATAAAGGTGGCAGGGGGAGGCTATCTCTAGAAAATGCCTGATAGAGCTTGGGCGGCTCTCGAATCGCCAAAGTAGGGAGATGGTGGTGGTCTCTATCCCTGCCGGAGTCTTTGGATTGGTTGGGTGCAGCTTGCATTGCTGGGGGCTTGTTGGGATATATGGGCTGGTTTATCCCTGAGGTATCAAGTGTTGATGTGGGATTAAATGCTGCGACGGTGCCGCCGTTGCTCCACATCTCCCTCTGCCGCTGCTTCTCTCTAGCATACTCAGTCTGAGGTGTGAGTGGAGGGGGGCGGAGCCTCTCTGTGGGGTTGCTGGGGGTCTGGGCGGGCGGAGTGGGAGGTACACCACCGCGACTGAGCCAAGGGTACGGAGGAGACGCCTGGGAGGTGGAAGGTGGAGCACCGGAGGGGTTGGCAGGAACGGAGAGGGGAGGAGGAGGGGGCACTGTGGGGGGATTTCCCGAGAGGAGTCTCTCTAGGTTTTCAATAGCAGTTTGCTCTTTTCCTTTAGCACTGCGAAGACTTTCCTCCTTCTTTTGCTCCATCTTCTTCTCCTCTTCAAGTCTTCTCTTCTCCTCCTTCGCCCTCTCTATTTCTCTCTTCTTTCTTTCCTGCCTCTCAGCTTCCTTCCTCTTCCTCTCCTCTTCTTGTCTCTCCCACTCCTTCCTCTTCCTTTCTCGCTCTCTGTTTTCCCACTCTGTCTTCTTTCTTTCCTCCTCTTGCTTCTCCCACTCCCTTCTTTTTCTCTCCATCTCCATTTTTTCCAGCTCTCTTTTCTTCTCCTCTTCCCGTTTCCTCTGCCTCTCCTCCTCCAGCTTTCGCCTTATTTCCAACTCTCTCTTTTGCTTTGCCTCTTCTTTTTTCCTCTCCTGCTCCTCTCTTTCTCTCCTGCGCTGCTCCTCAGCTTGCATATGTCCCTCCAGCTCTGCGTCGAGCTTGTCCAAGACGTCTCCTATTGACTGCGGGGCAGAGGTTGAGGCTTGAGGAGTGGAGAAGGAGTTCGGCTGATGATTCTGTCTGGATTCTTGAGGCGAGGTGTTGATAGAGGGAAGAGTAGCTGGGCAGTATGTCGTTGGGGAACTGGGGACAGGATTTGAATCTCTCCTTGTGATTACACTTTCCTCTCCCCGAGGGGCCCTAAAGGAGAACAAAGGAGTAGAAAATACAGGAGAAGGATGCTCCAGCTTCGGCTGAGCGTAGTATGGCATCTTCTCCTTGGTGGGCTGGGACTTTGTGGATTCCTGGTGTTGATGTTTATGGAGCTCATGGTGAGCAGCCTGACCTCTCTGGCAACCTGGCTGAAGCTGAGCACCTATTTCAGTTTTAGGGCTGTTGGAGCTTTGGGGCTTCGGATCCATCAATCCTCTCCAACTGTTCTGACCTGTGTGGCTGTTCCCAGAGCAACCAGTAGGGGGAGATGTAGACGCTGAAGAGACAGCCATGGTAACTCTGTCTGAGCTGTTGGTGTAGCGGCTGACACAGGAGGACAGGGACATGGGGATGTTTGTTGTGATGACAGGCGTCCGGGTGGGGTTGGTTGGGGGCACAGGGGGGATGACGTGACGGTGATGGTGGGGGGGACCTGAAAGCCGATCATCTATGACCTGATTGTGGCTCTGCTGGGGTTGAGGTAGCAGACCTGGAGGCGTGTAGACCACCGACGCCTGTGGGAAAAAAAAGAAGAAAAACATAAAAGGTTTTGTCATTTTGATCCATTTGTTATTTTAAAAGGAGCAGTTCACACAGAAAGACATTTTTAAGCATGTATTGGTTTCATAACAGATCAAATTTGTTAAACAAAAGGCAGTTTTAAATGACTAGAATGAATTCAAAGTTCTTTGAAATAGGTAACGCATTTGATTTAGTCAGCTTTGCAGAAAGTTGCTTCAATTTAACTTATGTTTAAAAAGTTGGTGAAGCAAGAATTCAGGAATAGACTTCCTGTGTATATCTGTAGACCCTCAACAGAAGATGTAATGACTCACCAGGGAATGACTGCTGGCCCCACTCTGGTATCTCCAAGCCTCACTGGGTCCACGTTGATGCTGAGGTACTGAGGTGCTGCTGACAGGAGGAAGTGGTGGGGGGGCACCCTTGTGTCGTAGCCCAGGGTGAGGCTGGAAGTGGCTGTAAGGCACACTGCTGCCGCTGCCATTTTTGTTGCTGGTTGCAGAAGCGTTTGCTGGTGACGACTGACCTCTTACCCGATGATCTTTGTCTCCTCTGGTTGGAGTAGGTGGCGTTTGGCCCTCGCTGATTGGGCTTCTCTGGTTGTGAAGAGCACGGGGCTCCACGGCCTGGCGGGACGGGCCAAGGTCCAGTTTGGAGCTCGGACTCGGGTAGGAGGAATGAGGGGAATGATGGTTCGCAGCCTGAGGTTGTAGCACATCTTTCTGGAGCTGAGGAGTACATCCCTGGTTGTAGCTTCCAGGAGAAGAGTTTGGAGGAGAGGAAGTGAGGTTTGAAGGGCTGGAGGATATAGGAGAGGCCTTTGAGGTGTAGCTGCACATCCCTTGTTTATTACTCCCCTGATAATCAAGAAGGAAACAATCCACCGTTAATTTACCACAAACGCAGTCCGAAATAAACAGAGAAAAGAAAATTCATTTAGCTGTTCAGACCTGATAATCTTGTGGATGTTTTCTGTCAGAAGTCTGGGGCTGCCAGAGGACGCCGTTGTCCTTATGAATGGGGTTCCAGAAAGCAGGCTTTGGGGGATGGTGGTGAGTTGGCATCTGCGGTGGAGACGGCGACTGGCTAGAAAAATGATGCATCCCTGAGTTGGATACCTAAACAGAGACGGGAACATTATAGACAACTAAAATCTGAGAAAGGTGAGGCGGAGAATACGACCCTACACTGGAGGACAGGAGTTGTAGGTGCTGCGTACCTGATCCGAACTCTTTCTCCTCTTGCTGGGACTCGGGGTGTCCTCGGCTGCCGGATGGGAGGGTATGTGCAGTGATGCGGGAGGAGTGTGTTGGATGACAGAGTGCTCCATCAGAGGAGGACCCGGTCTCTTCAGCTGACCCCCTGGCATCTTCCCTGGGTAGCCTCTCTGCTACGTACAGAAATGAGAGGCTCGCTTATTAACAGGCATATCTGAGAAGATTAACTAGAGCTAAAATCGGGTTCATTTTCTGTCTACTTGGATGAAGAAACAAGGCCACAGCCAATTAGGAAGGCTCCTACCTGGTGCACCTGAGCCCAAATCTCATCTCCCACCGGTGATGGACTCCTGAGATCCTGAAACCCCAAAAAACCCAAAGCAGATGATGAAACAAACAGAAAAAAAAAACAAAGACTAATGTTTCTCAAAGTAGAACAAGTGCGATATGAGTTCCACCCCCTCACCTTCATCAGTGGGTTTGTTCGGTTAGGATGCAGATGTGGGTTGAAAAGGTGTGCACCGCTACCCGTGTAGCCGTTAAATAGACGCATGGCGTGGTCGCTGTGTAGGGACAGAACCGGGTGGGTGTGAGGGGGGTGGTGGGAGTCGAACTGCTGATCCCATACTCTGTGAGGAGGAGGGGGAGGATGAAGATGCTGGGGGGGAAGCCTCTGCTGCTCCCGGTGCATTCCTGGAAACATTGCTGGTGGGAGATCAAGCTTTTCACCTCCTCGCATCGGCCTGAACACGCAAAAAACAAACATAATAGAAAGACTTACACCCCAGTGCTTCAAATAACATTCAATATATAACAGATTTTAATTCTATTATCCATCTGTAATCAAGTAGAGGCTTTGCACATCTTAAACAGTGTGTTTAAGCATCTCTGTTCAGTGTAGGTTGAAAAGTCAAAGTGAAGATCAGTATAAGTAGGGCCCTATAAAATTAAATTTTTTCCCAAATTCCGTTTTTTTCATTTAAATTTTAGAAAATACAGTTTTTTCCATTTTAATTTTTGTGAATTCAGTTTTTTTTTTACCCTTTACTGTTATTTCAGTTGTAAAAATAATGTGCTTTTAATGTTAATGATTAAAATGTACACAAATAAAATAGGAATGACCTTAAATTTATTGAGGTAAAAAAACACATTTACTCAGTACTTTTACTGCATGATGCAACATAACACTGCACTCTAAGTACTAACAAAATATTAATGGTTATGAACCAATCAATTAGCTTTTTCCAAGTTAAAAAAATAAAATGGGACCTCTCAATTTCAGAATTATAAAGTATTTCATAAAGAATCATATTTTCCAAACAGTAGATTAAAGTGCATAAAAAAACAAGGCAAAATACAGCAAGTATGTAAGCAAGTGTTGCTCAACTTTTTCGCCGAAAGCGGAGCTGTGGAGAGCCGCTTTGCCATTTTTTTTAATGTTTTGATGGGGGAGGGTGAGCGGAAATGATGGAGTGGGAGAGGTTGTGTTGCCCAGATTTGCGTCCCCAGGTGTGCATTTCCCCCCCTGACGTACGTTCTTCTCCCACACAAAAACAGAATTTCATGTCAAATGTAGAAATTCCGCGTTAATTTGCCAATCCCGCGATTCCGTCCGCGATTCCGTGATCGCGGAAATTATAGGGCCCTATATAAGTGGTTTAGATTCTGACCTACGCATTTACAAACCCCATTCAGATGAGATTCCTGAAGATATGAAATAATAAAATCAATAGCTGCAAACCTCAGCCCCGACTCAGCGATCAGGCCTACGCTGATATTAGCCTCTATACTGAAATTTTTTCACAATTACTTTAGTTTATTGCAACAAAAGTGATCCAGTAAATATATTACCTGGTTATTATTGTTTATTTTTAACTACTTTAAAACATCAGTCAGTTTTAATGATGTGTTGGCATTAAATAGTGAAAAGTGGAGGTGTTTCTTTCCAACTACTGTCAACAACTTCAACAACTTCAAACTTCTGTTTGAAAGTGCAAAACGTCAATAACTTAAGTGGCCGTCATTAAAAAGAGATCTTACCCGTTACTTAAGTATTTACTGTGATGGTTTAAACCACCTAGTGCTGCTGGAGGTAGATGGGGAAGCTGCGGTTGGTTCATTGCAGGCGAACACCTAAATGAGGACAAGGAGCAATGAATTTAATCCCAATCCTAACAGACAGGCTAAAATTCTGCATCAAATTTTATGTTAGAAAGACGAACAGGAAAAAAAGCTGACTGTATCAATCTGACCCATCTATTTTATTTTATTGTTTCAACAAACCAACTGCCAAATCTAACAGAAAAATAATAAACTCTGCGTTATTGTGGCGCCAACTGTCTGCTTTAAATCCAACACTGTTTGCTGTGGATGCAGTTACTGAGGGAAAGAAATCTGACGTTTGTTATTGTTGAGATGTTAAAACCTTAAGTTAAAACCTCAAGGATCTTTATACAGTGCGTGGTAACGGTGCCACAGAAGTAAGAGAGGAAGAAGAGCAAAGAATCCAGGAGGGGAAAAAACGAGGATATGTGTGGATTGACGACAAAGGGATCCACAGGAACACAGAGCAGGAGCAAAGACAGTTGGTTTCAAATAATCTATTGAGCTTTGCTTGTATCATAAAGCTTTCTTTGGGTATGTATAGAAATCGCCCACCACTGGATCCTGATTCATAACCACTTTGAGCTGCGCTGGTCGTTCAGCAGAACAGCTTAAAGAAAAATTTCACTAGAGGAGGAAAAACTTTGTTCCCAGATCCAAATTCCAACTTCCCAGATAAAAAGCTTAAGATTAAATCCCTTAGCTGCGAGTAAAGGTCAGAGCTGGCAGATTGCAAAACGCTAAGTGCTGTGTATGCGTTGTCTTGGTTACAAACCTGGCAGGTGGCTGCCAGGCGCGGCCGTTCACGGGAGGCCATTGCCCCCGGTTGAGTCCGTCCAGAGGGAAGGAGTCCCGTGTGCCTCGGCCGCTTAACTGCTCAACTGCGTGATGCATCCAGCCTGGGATTTACAAACATCCACCTCATTAACAAACACACACAGATACACCCCTCCAAAACATTTCTGTCTCTATTGAATTTAGATCAACATGACCGTTACTCACCAGACTAGCTGTGTCCGTGAAGCCCTCCACTGCAGCACAGAGGGGGCCTCACTCCAACACTGAGAGAATCTGCTACGTCCGACTCCCCTGACTTCTGCACCAGGAGCCTAAAAGCCAACAGGCTGCAGAGAGAGAAACAGAGGAGCCTGTGTGAGGCTAACAGAGACTCATTGAAAAGTCAACAAATGCCACGGGCTCTCTCCATTATATGGAGTAGCTACAGAGAGACCGTGTTGTGTCAGCTGAGAGGGGATGGGGTAAGAGAGACCCACAGGGGCAGATTAAATCCTGAAGATATGCAATGGCGACATTTCTCCTCCTAATAAAGCTCAAGTTAGATTTTTTCCCTTTGTCTGACACTGGTGTTATATGTTTGAGCCACTAGGAGGCAGCAGTTAGTTTAAATAGTGCAAATAGGGATTCTTTTTTAGGCCCAGATGGCTCAGTGGAGAGCTCACCTAGGAGGACGGATCTGGTGCTACTGTAATCCTAAACATGGAGGTTCTGATAGCGGGGAGAGACCAAGAGTGAGAGGCTTTGGTCACGTGCCAAGAGTGTGCAGCACTGGAAACGAGCCAAGCTGCACAGTGGCATCAGGCCTGTGCTCCTGTAGAGAAGCCTGGTCTCTCTTTTAACTGGATCTTTGTGTGTGTGTTATGTGCATACACTAAAGTTTAATCTCATTACGGCAGGCGTGATAGAGATGAGGAGGGGGGGGGGCAAGCAGCGACAGACGGTCTGAACAGGATGGCAGGATAGATTAAGGAGAAGAGATGGAGCGGAGAGTGGGAAGAGTGCCATGAAAACACCCATACACCTTCCCTCACACACAAAGGAACACAGCGGAGGCGGAAACGGAGAGAAGATAGAACTCCATAGTTTTTTTGACGCTGTAGAGTTAAAATACACTTGACACGAAATAAAAATCCAGAGGAACCGCAGACTATAGACACAATGACGCTTCAGTATAGAAGTTATTCCTGATGAGAAATGCATGCAATGTTAACCCCTTTAATCATCACATGACGTGTCAAATGGCGCCTTAGCTCATTTTCTAGAAAGTCTCAAGGCATGCTTGTGTGCTTACATTGAGGCTGCAAGAGAGAGTATGATTAATAGCTGATAACAGGAAGGTGGGACACATTAGAAAAGTAGCAGTTTAACCATTTTGATTCTTGCAATTTCTGTCATGAAACATGCCGAGTATGGAGCTTTGGAGCCTTAGGGAAGGGTTTACATTGTCTAAGAAATACATGCAGTCTGCTGCTATTGGAATGCACTTCCTGCTATGTTAAAAAGAAAAGAGACTGCTTAAAAGAGAATAATCCACAACTGTTTTTGTCTAAAAAAAAAAGAAAAATCTATTTTACATTGACTCTAATTTCTAAAATAATCGACGCATCTAGGTTTACAATAAACCCCCCAAAAACTTTAATTTGAAACGAGCAATTGGATTCCTTTAGCTGCCTTTCTATGAAGAAGTTCGAAACACTGACTCACTGAGGGTTACTGCATCAGTTGGAGTGTATCAGATACACAATGAGGCTGTGAGTCACTCCTATTGCTCAGCAGAGCTCAGCACTCTTCCACTATTCTTCCCAAATTAGCCCGGGACATGCGTATTATGTTCCTCCTACCAGTTCCTCTCCTCGTCGTTCCTTCCTTCCACCAACTCGGGGCGTCTCTCTATTTAAAGCCTACTAGCTCCACACACAGACACATAAACAGGCCGCAGTCTCTATCTCATCCACTCCACACCGCAAAAGGATCAGGCTCCACCAGACACCGCTGTGGGGCCAAGATAGGCTGAAGTTAACAGTCAAGGCCGCACTGAAAGCAAACACTCCAGCTGGGCTCACCTTTCAGCGTTAGCACCGAGTTATTGATTCACAGTTCTGTTAAATCTCCTCTTCAGCTGCCAATCATCTCTCTGGTTTCTCCTTCAGACCTGGAAAACAGAAAATACTTTGTTGTCAAGCTGTCATAAAAACAGCATGAGGTCAGCAGGAACATTGAGGTGCTCTAGTCGGAAAAAGGAGACGGGAGAGTTAATCAAAAACGTAATTTTATCCAATATTGGATACATTTTCACAGTCTTAACCACATTTGTGGTAAAGCAGACTTTTTTAGAGAAGCTGTTCAGTTTAATTGTGCTGCCCTGCATGGTGGGAACTGAGAGGGTTCTATGTTTTTAGGAGCCGTTATTTCTAAACTCTAGAGCAGTCACTGACAATGGCAAATTCATTATAGTGGCTGCTGTCCAGGAAAAGTTTGACATAACGACTTGGATTAAATAAAAAGGATTAAAACTTCTTCCACCTTTAGCTAGCTTAGCAAAAGCACTAATCGGAGGTTCAACTTGCTGGCAAATGGGAGTTTCGTAGCTCTTGGGGAGTTCTCACGGTTATTCTGAAAAAGGTTTACATGCCACCAGCGAAGACTAAAATTCTTCCCTTTTTTTATATTTCTGTGACTTTTTCTTTTTAAAGCTTAATTAAACAAACATTTTATTTCTAACATGGAGGACATGCAGTAATTAGTTTGTGAATTAAAAAGCTAGTTAATTGTGATTCCACGCCAAACGCACTGCAAAAACTATCTAAAAATTTGTAAAAATGTCTTAAATTAAGTGTATTAACCCTTAATTTGAGCATATAAGATGATTTGCCAATGGAGTGAGTATTTTTACTCTTAAAATAAGGTAATTAGATATTATGCACTTGATATAAGACAATGCAATTGTTTTTTCTTATTTTAAATGTAAATTGTCTTGTTCCATTGGCAATGTGTCTCACTTACATCCGTAATTCAAGACAAAATGCACTTATTTTAAGAAAAAATGACTTATTTTTTGCAGTGTGATGATCTACCAGAGCAGGTTGTGTGTTATTCGATTGTAATATAGATGGGTGATGAAATTGAGAATATGAGATGGTATTGTTTGGCTACCATGATCGAGGTACGCAAAGGATTGAAAAGGTTACAGTTGGAAAAGTGCTGTTTTTCACAACATCCATTAAGAAAAACAACAGTCAGCTCTCTGCAACATTAAAAACAAGGCAAAAAATTTCATACTCCAAAAACAATAAACTGGATCAAACAGGAGGTGAAGGGTTAAAAACCAAAAAGCCAGTAGGGTGACCCATTGGAATTCTTTCCTCACACAGACACAATGGTGAGACAAACTGAGCAGGAAGAGTTGAGCTGGCAAAGTCAGCCATGAGACGTGAGGAAACAATCATTTAATAAAACACAGAGTGAAAGGGAGAAAAATAGCCAGTAGACCAAAGCACTGAGGGCGAACGGGGACACACCGACCAGGCTATAATTACATCCTCTACAGAGGCTGTGTGTTTTATGTGTTGCGACCAAACAGTCTACTCCAGTTGCTATCCTGGCTGTTTGCTCACAGCTACACAGAAAGAAGAGTGTGGGAAACTCAAGTCCCCATGAAACGAGAGCGTTCGTAGACGTGAAACCATGGTGTTAATATTCCAGCTCAGGTTTTATCACCTCAGTGACACCACCTACAGGACAATCTGTGAGCAACCGCATCATCGTTACTCGGTTCAACTTTTTTTTTTTGGGGGGGGGGGGGGGGGGAAACCCCACCTTCTACCCCACCAGTGACTCAACACTCTGGAAAAGGGCTTCCCCGAAAAGCGTCCGACCTAAAAACTCCGCCTCTTTACAGTCAGGTGACCGTGGGCGTGTTTCTGCTTCACTGCTGATGCGAGAACAGTGGGAATTTTCTGCTTTTTTTTTTTCGCTTCTTCGGACTACGTGATGTCATTTCTGCTCCGCTCACAGCACAAGGCACATCAAGAGGGTTTAGATACACTAACAGGATGTGATGAGCCACGAGGAGGGGGGTTTCAAGCCTGCGAGACGGAAATTAAACCAACAAAGTGCAAGTTAATGACTCAAACAATCCAAAAAGCCACAACACAAGTTTGAAAGTGATGAATTCGAGAATAAAAGTTATTACTTTCACTTCTAACACAATAGTTGGATCATTTCAGTGAGCAATCTTAAAGAAATGTAAAGGAATTATAAAGAAATTTGTCCACTTTTTAAGTAAAAAAAAAGAATTTCCCCCAAAAGATACAGTATGTTGGAGAAATCCCCCCCCCAGAAAATGATGTCATACATCAAAGAGCTCTTCCTGTCAACACCCTCAAGTGGTGCGCTTGCAAATCATTTCCCCCCTAAAACATCAGCTGGAAGGGGAGGCGTAGCCGAGAAGGGAAAGAGAAATTCAGAAATGCAGAACTGAATCCCAGGTCTGTACAGGTATGTCTGCTCCGCCTTCGCTGCTTGGAGAGCAGAAGAACAAAACTGTTAAAACAAACATAAAGTCCTGATTTTAGCCCGCCCTGTAGACCAGATAAGAGCGAGCGGGGCGGTGACGACACTAGCTGGGAAAAATATCCGTCTGTGGGAGAACGCTGGCTGCGATTCTGTTTTTATCCTCCCCTGTGATACAACTGCTAACGTCAGCCGTACTTTGGTCAGCCACCATGATGCCAGGGCTATCAGGCACAGTGCTCATCACAGACCGTGACGAGAGATTGTGTAACAGTTAGTGGAGAACCAGTTCGATAGTGAACAAGCAGATTAGGCTCTGGGAAGAGGCAGGAGAAGAGTCCTTGGAAGCGGAAAGACCAAGATTGGGTCTTTTTCTCTGCTTCTCTCCTCATCTTCTTCCGCCCTCCCTCTCGCTCTCTACTCCAGTTGGCCATTACATAATCGGTCCCAGATAGAGATCGTGTTCTGGAGGGAGCACCAATCCTTTCTCTCTCTCGCTCCCTCACATCCGTGCCTTTATTTGTTTGTGCGTGAAGGAACGTCAGCACATGCCGATCCCAGCCGGTGATGTGGGCTAACTAACTTCCATCACGTCTGCCTCTTTAAACACACGCACACTCATTAAAAAAAAGAAAAAAATCGGGGGAGATCCGGTGCCAGTGACGACACTCGAGGGTCAGATGAGGATACAAAGCTAACTCCATCTGCTTGGAAGCAAATGAGCTGAGCTCTTTATTTTATTTTGCAACATCTGGGCTGATGGTTTAGAAATGGGTCAGTGGGCTGCTTCTAATAGACGCAGATGTGGAGAGATCGGCCTCTGGTGTACATGACGTTACAGAGAAGGGAACTGAGCTCAGCGGGTAGAGGAAACTGTCGTCCACACCACAGGAAGTAGGCCTCCCTGAAGGGGTATCAAAGAGCGACGCTTCCTGTTTAAAAAGATTCTCTTTTCTTTGTGCTACTTTCTTTTTCTGAGTAATACCTACCTTTACGGATGCGTGAAAAAATGAGCTAAAAATTGCTCGAAACACAACTAAGTGATCACTGTCGTGTGAGCAACAAGTGTGACTCATTCAAATCTTCCTCAGCAAAAAAAATAACAAAAAAACAAGGTGATTAGGCGACAGTGACTCCTTGGTACTCTATCGGCCTCTTCGCCGGCTTCTGGTAAACATGAGCCACACATTTTCTGTTTTTCTCATTTTCACAGAAAGTCAATGGAAAGAGTTTAGTTCCTATATCAGCCTCGCAAAAACAACATCTCTTCTTCGCCATTTCAAAAAGACAGTGACTCAACTTCAGGCAGAAAAACAAAAGCACAGCAGCAACAATTCTTGATGAAGCAGCGGCCGTTGAGAGGACGTGGGTGATGGATTGACAGACAGACAGCGGCTTCATCTTGTTCCCCCAAAAAGCCCCCCGACTTTCCACTTTTTATTGGAAGAAACAGACCTACCAAAAAAAAAAAAACCCCTCAAAGTAGAGCGTCTCCAGGTGCAGCTGAGTCCAAATCCACTCAGAATTTCTCAGAAACGAACCAAACATTGAGAGTTTTGTCCTTCCCGACAGTTACCAGGGGAACAGGCTGCGACTTTACTTTCTTCAGAGAAAAAGAGAGAGGAATCTATTCATCATCTGGGTTTATACGAGGTCTTTATGATCAACATGTTTACAGTGACACAGGGACAGACTGACTAAACACACACACCGACTAAGTCTCCTTATTTTCCCCCTCTTCCTACCCTGGACTCATAATATGGCTCATCAGCAGGCTGTGTGTGGGCCAAAACACACAAAATAACAGGGATAGGTTTGTGTGAGGGAGAGCCTCATCACACATAATACTCCACATAATGACAGCATGAGCTCAGCTGGCTGTGCAGCGTTTTATTTAGAGCACCCTCCTCCTCCCCAATCGCATGCGCCGCAATCGTCCATCAGAAGGGCCGTGACGCAGGCGAACCCGTTTTGTTATGCCGGTACATTTAGTCTAGAAAACATCCAAGGACCGTTTAGAGATTCCTCAGATACCAGAGTCTGTCGCCGGCGGTTCCTGGAGGCAGATTGTACACAAATCTCCAGCTGAGATATTACTTATCCGGCAGCCTCTGTGGCAGAGCGCAGGGTAAAATGAGGTGATTCGAATTCTTTCCAAGGTGTTAGCTTATTAGGAATGAGTCACGTAACCCCCGCACCCCCTTTCCGCCGTGGCATCCGCACCATCATCAGTGGAAGAGAGCCAGAGATAACAAAGCATGGGGGAAAAACCTTCCCCTTCGCTCTCACTCTCAATGTAACAAGCAGAATATAAACACAGCCCCCCCCCCTTAACACTCCTACACATGCCTTTATGTCTCTGCTGAGCAGAACGACTACTGGTGATGTAAACAAAAAACCTTGTTAGCTAGGGATGGGAAATACACTTTTCAAAGTTTTAGCGCCAATGAAAAAGAATGTTTTTGTCTTTATAAAACTTGAACACAAGAGCTTCTCTAAAACTGGTACTCAGACCTTTTTTTCCTTCCTTTTTCTCACAGGTTTAGGGAAGTTGACAGTTATTATAAATTAAATAAAGGAATTCTTCAAGGTTTACAAAAGCTTAAAAATACTTATCAATTTTTCTTGTAAAGCTCAAAG